AAAAAAAAAAAAAAAAAAAAAAAAAAAAAAAAAAAAAAAAAAAAAAAAAAAAAAAACCATAAACGTGTAGGGGTAATTTTGTCACAGAAACGCTATCACCACTGAGGCTATATGGATATCCCCACTCACGTGGCGAGCACTATTTTTCGTACACCCATAAACTTAATTTAAATCATAAAAATATACAGTTTTTTTGTTATATGTGACCCGTACAGATGCATGATACGTTTTAAAACGGCAAAAGCCGCATAATAGCTACGGGGGATGGAAAAAAAAAAAATTTTCTAAAAAAGATATATACACACACGATGATGAGTGTTGAAAATGAGACTCATCGTGTTTTTTCTACACTTTATAATATCTATGCATTTACACGACGTGGAGCATAAAATTGAAAGTATAGTTGTACCAACAAAAGTGTACAATATTTGAAGGCACTAATACATATATAATTCGCTCGAGCTGGGGGGTGATGGGCAATCGGGTGTGATATGACGCTTACCACCGTGACGTCATTGCAAGACGGGGGGGGGGTGTCCGCGGTATATATATCCATGCACATATATTATGTGTATAGGTATACAATGTGTACAGATATAGATTACACGGATGCTTGCACACGGTCTCGATATGACTGAGCGTTACGTATAATATTACGCGGAAGCAAAACACGGCCGGGGCGCATGCCCGACACCCCCTGCAACGCTATGCCAGCACCTCTCGCCCCTTCGATCCCTCGGACGCGCCACCGTGTATACCCTCTCCGCACAATCTCGGTGCGCGAGAACGCGCGAGCCTCGTCCGGGCAACTCCAGGATTACAATGGGTCACAACGTGAGTGCGCCTCTATACTTAATCATCATTTATCATCTCATCTCTTTCAAAGTCGCTAAGAAAACCAAAACGAATTTTTTTTTTCCGACCAAAGTTTTTTTACCAGCACAGGGATGCGGGGTGGGGTAAGTGTACGGGGATTGTCCTCATAAATTTTGTACCTTTGCACACATTGCACTCGCTCGGCTCAGCTGTTTTGCTACTCGCGTGTGCTTACCCACTACAGCATAATTATAGTACCGTATATACGCGGGTGATGTAGAATATTACGGTGTGATGCGTGTATAGGAAATATAGGGATACAGGATGTCTTTTATAATACGTCACGTGTTTAACGATTGAAACTCTTTTAATCCGCCTTTAATGCTCTACTCGTAAAGTATAATATACATTGTGTGTACATAATATATATACCCTCACGGGTTGGTACACTTTAATATAAAAAAAAAAAGTATATACATTGCGCGCCACAGGCGATGATGATATTATATGGTAATGGGCATTTAAAAATATTATTTTTTATTATACGCATATGGACTATACGTGTGTAATATTATATAGATTTGCGAGGAGACATTATAGTACATGATAATGTTGCGTCGCGTATAATATATAGTCACTAACATATTATCAATCCCAATATAATTTTTCGTAATAATTTGTGTTTTTCATTCCTCGATCCAGCGAGTTGAATCGTTCCTCTGCTCATCCGCGGAATGAAAGTGTAAACCCGCGTAAAGCCACAAAAGCGTATAATATACGTGATTATCGCAATGACAAATAATAACAATAATTTTGCTTTGCAGGTGAAAATAGGGATGTGCCTGTCACTGGTGCTGGCGGTTATTAACACGGGCGTGGATTCCGCGACGCGGCACATGATAGCCAAGAGAAATTACAGCGATCAGAGTGTCGAGGGCTACTTGGCCGAGGTAACATTCAATACGCGCAGTATACATGCTGTGTGACTTACTCTCCGCCGCCCCGGGTAGGATTACCCCACTTTCCAAATTTAGCTGCCCATCAAATTTTCATTGAACCTTTTCAACGGGAATCGTGTAACTTTTTTTTTTTTCATACGAAAATCTTTACTTTCTTGGGATGAACATTTTTCCACCCCTAAAATACAAGTAAACCTATGGTTTTTTGTGTATATACCTCTTTAAAAAGTTGAGTTGAAAATTAAAAAAAAAAAAAATGAGATTTTAGTTCCGTCCGAATAAAGCAGATAATTCACCCGGAATTTCGTACAGTGGAGTCTAATGGATGATATAAAAAAAGATTAAATACGTTGCGCGAAGAATATTATACATCAACAGAACCGATTGATTTTTGACCACGAAAAAAGCATAAAATTGCACAATTTTAATTTCTCTACTTGATTGTCTTGCGTTACAAAGTATCGATTCAAAGTAGATGAGAGACTATGAAAAAAAAAAAAACAAAAAAAAAAAACAGGCAATAACAGCGCATTGGTTGAGCAGAGAACCTGCTGGTGGAACGAGGTGTGCAAGGAGGAGTTCCACAGCAAATTTCGTTGCCGGTGCCCGCGTTGGGCCTATTGCCGGGCTCCCGGCCGCTACTACGACGCCCACTGCAGTATGACCCGGACCGGCTACATCTGGACCCAACCCGAGACTTCGCTGATGCTCGAGAACGTCGGCAAATAACAAACACCCACGTTGCGACGTGTGCACAGCTACACCTCGCGACGTCGTGGCTCATCCGCCAGGGAGAGGGACCGGGCCGAAGCTGCCTCCCGCTCCAAGAATGAAAAAGTTAACACCGAGGGTTGATTTTAACACCTCTTGTGTTGGTTTTATTTTTTAAAAAAACCTACGTGTTTTTGTTGACACTTTGTTTGTTTTCTTTTAAGAAAAACTAATTTTTTTGCTCGTCACAATTCGCTCAGTAAGTTTATATATTTTCGTTGGTTTATACTGGTTTTTTATGCGATTCTGGAAAAATCGTTAATTTTCGTCAATGTTATCGACCGATTTGCGTCAATCGGGTTTAAGGTGATTCCATTGGAAATCAGACTTGGGCTGTTTCGTTGATCTCGAAACCCGATCAAGTTCGGAAAACAAACGGTTGTTCGTGCATAACAATATGCATGTATGTATACTAATGAAGATTTATTATACATCCATGGGGGTACTATGAAATTTCTTATGCCTTTAAAAATGTGTGATTTAATTGAACGTAAACTTAGAGCAGATTAGAAAAAAGTTGTTTGTTATCTTATAAATTTAAAGATATATAATAGAGTAGTTGAGTAGAAAAAAAAAAAAAAAAAAAGTTAAAGATGCTCAAGGGAATTTATTTTCTTTCGAGCGGGCTTTAGATGAAATTTAATATTTACTGATAAATCACTTGTTCAAACAAATAACACACGGAAGCAAGATAGAGATTGTTAAAATAAGAAAAACACGCTGATTTTATTCACATAAACAGCTGCCATGAAAAGTTCGAATATTAAGCAAAAAAAAAAATTGCCTACTCATAATTCGATAGCAATCGTATATACTTATTTTGCCTTTAAAATTTTACATATTATCAGTATTTTCAAAATTAACGTGTACAAGGCTAAGATTATCATTGAATAAGTTGAATACGTCAAAAAGTTCAATTATACAGCATGTGGTAGACTGGTAGCGTCTGAGAAAAAATTACACGACAGATAATAAAGATAACGTCGTAATGAATTTCAGTTCGGTTTTACAGCAACAGCATTCTTTCGAGTTAGATATCTATTGTCACGTACGTGGCTTGGCCTTCTACACGTAACACTACGTAAAAAAAAAAGCTCTATGTATAATAAAAATGTTAGAACTCTCGTGTTCGTAGGCACACGTTTTATTGAGACTTGTTGCATACAAACTTGTTAAAAAATTAGAACTGTTATGTGCAGACACGTTGTTCGATTTAAAACGCATAAGTATATCTCAAATAAATAGCAGAATTTTAACACGATATGCCAAAACCTTCCAGGACATTTATTCAGTGATACGCACATGCACATTCACACGTACACTCTGAAAGACTTGTCCATGTTAATATTCATAAATATATATATACTAAAAAAAAAAAAAATTTCAATTTTAAATAATAGGTCTTAACACGCATATTCCAATATGTATATATAAATGTGTATGCAAACTTGTGAAAAAATATATGAAATGTAAATATATGTAAGTTGAAAAGATATTAACATGTATACTATTAAAGTTTCCCGTGTTTTTTATTATTTTTCATTACTATTGTTTAGGAAAAAAAAGCCACTGCAATGACGAAAAGCGTATACACGTACACTAAGTAAAAAGTTGTATGATTTTATTTTCCCATTGTAAAGTGTACTTTAACGGAAGAACGAGTAAGTGGGGCAAAGAGACAAAGCATCGTCGTGCCGTTGTACATCCTAATATATAAGGTAAGTACCTCGATTGCAAACCAACAAGCCCACTTCCACCATCCGCTTGATAACTGTTATTTTCCTTTTATTTTCTTCAAATGCTGCTTGTTGAGGTGGTTCATGGGTGAAACGCACGATGGTTGACAAAATAAGAAAATACTTTGAGAAATTTTACACAGAAACGACCATTTCTCTAAAATTTGGGTAAGAAAATTAAGCAAGAAAGCGGACAATTTTTTAAATTTAGAACAAACGCTCATAAACACTATTATGATTTGCGTTTTTGAAAGCTTATTATTTATCTCTTGTAAAAGACAAGTGTTCTGAAAAATATACGTATAAACGCGCCCTGGTGAAAAGATGATGGAACCGGAACGTTAAACAAAAAGACATATAAATTCCTTCTAAAGTTCTAGTTGGAAAAATTAAAAAACGATTTCAATAATACGATGTGCAATGTATTATTGAGAAATCAATGTAATACATATATAGTGTCTGTCTAACCTTTATACAATCTACAATACTCCATGCAACTATGAATCATAGAAAATGGGGTTTGTCAAGTAACTTTTGTACACAGAATGTATATTTTTCATTTCTTATTAGATGCTTTTGCCGAGGAAATATTGTTTGACTTTGGACACAAATTATGAACAAAAATTGTTTTTTTTTGTGCATTAAGGTATTCGATTATTTTTTTTTTAAATATACTTGTACGAGTAATTCTCTTCATTCTCTTCAAACAACGTACCCACTAACCTACCACTACGTACATATAAGTACTACTTAATAGGCGTAACAGCTAAAAATATTAAATTCGATTAGTGTGAAATCAGTAACCAAGTAGATACACACGTGATTATTTCTTATCATAGGTAACGTTGAAATTCGACGTCGACAAACGATAACACACTCATTTTGTGGAATTTTGAAGACCACAGCAAAGAACTTTACTATACTTACACATTTTTGACTCTTCGCAAGCAAGATATTAGCTCACAATACGTGCCGAAGCTATTAGCTCTTGTCCACGAAATCGAAAATTCCACTCGAGGCTATACTGAAGTAAATCATTAAAATTGTACTTGAAAATTCGAAAAAGTACAAGTATTTGACGTGATGACGCAGTTTTTTTTTTTGTTCACGTGTATGGTTTAACTATAAGTACAGCACGTTATTCATCGTCAAGTCGATTACAATGTACAAGTATAAAACACGGCCGATGCCGGTAGGTATAGGTATAGCGTAAACGTGCAACGACCGAGCGAAGCTAACCGAGCCAAGGCACCGACGCAAAAGGTGCTCGCACGACAACGCGACCGAGAATTTCAGCGCTCTATATATACCTCTAGCTGAGCCCGTGTATAGTTAGAGGCCGTGTTACGTGGGTGGCGGTGGTCGTAGTTCTGTGTATCGGTGGCCCCCCCTCTCTCCACGTTTGCGCACTGAACACATTTTGAGATTGAAAGTTTCGCGTAGATCTATACGTGTCGTCTCGTCGTCTGTCGTTCTCTTTCCGTTGGACGAGTCTGTGCGCGTGTGTGATCGGGGGAGGTACTACGTACAAGCATATATAAATATACCGTTTCGGGCGTGCTCGCTGGTATGGGAACCCTCGGGAAAGTATAAAAGGAGAGCTCGTGAGTCGCTAAGCGTGGAGGAGAAACCCAGGCGGGTTCTCTCTCTCTCCTACTTATTCGGCTGCTGCTGCAGCTGGAGCCTCAGAACGTCTCGTGCCGTCGTCCGCACTTGTACACCCTTGACTAAAACCCGTGCTTACACAGTCTTCCAATAATTTTCCAACCTCGTGCGCCACATACTTATACCTATACTTGAATCCGTTCGTTTGGTGCTTCTTAACAAGAAACTTACAACGCATGACAGCGCTAGGTATCACCGCTGGTGCTCACCCGTTGAGCAAAGGAGGAAACCACGTCGTGTCTTTATTACATACACATATTATCATCCCCCTTTTCTTCCTCTTGGTTGTCTGTTTCCTCAGGTAGACGTAGACCGACATCTTCGTCGGCATAATGGCCCTCAGTCAAGCGTGTGTGGTGAGTAAAGTCCCCTCATCCTCTAGGTGTGTGCGTATATAGACATAAATATGCCAACAGCATCGGCAGCGGCATCAGCCTCGACTTTGACGAAACATAAATCATATAATTATATACACGTCCCTCCCGTCGAGGCATGCCTCTCTTCGGCCTGCGACCGAATGCCGCTGAAAACCTCGTCGGAGTTCCAATTTATACTCTCTTGCTAGCAAGGGGGGCACTCTCCCCAGCCCACCGAGGAAGCGCCACCGCTCTCCTCCTCGGCGCGGTACTTGTTCTGGCCTCTCGGCGTGACTTTCATCATTGCGAAACTGGTGCTGCTGCTGCTGTTGATGTTCCTTATACAAGTATAATCATACGATCTTCGCCGACAACGATCATGGTTTTTAAATGACCAAATCCACTAGCGTTTAAAGTTACGGTTCATCACACAAGTTCATGATGGGTTTAAGTTAGTGACTCGGACGTTGTTGCTTTTAGTGCTATTGTGTAAGAGATGTCATTTTGTGCTGACCATTATTGATTTCTACGTTTAAACTATTAAATTTTTTTTTTTTGGAAATCAAACTTCAATGATGTAGTTGTCATAACACGTTGGTCTTGCCAATTGTGATTTGTAGAGGGTCGAAATGCATCCATATTAAAACTTCACATTGTCTCATGTAGTGTATTATGCTTATTTATAGTCATGTGATTTATTTCAGATAAAAGTATATAGCACGGTTATAGATGATGTAATATCTGGTGTACGTGAGGCTTTTTTGGATGAGGGTGTTGATGAACAAGTGCTTCAGGAACTGAAGCAAATATGGGAAAGTAAGTTGTTGTCCAGCAAGGCTGTGGAGCTGAACCTTGATCCTCCAGAGCCACAACCACCTCAGTTGAATTCAACAAAAAACAATGCGTCTAACAAAAGCAGCTCTAAAAGTAAGATATCGCTTTAATAATACATTTTGTGCTTGAAATGCCAGCAGATGAAGCAAAATTTTAGATTTTACAAAGAAGTTACTGATGTAAGTAAAATTTTTTTTTTTTTTTTTTTTCTAGAAAATAGCAACGCCAACCATGCTAACAATGCTCAAGCAAAGTCGGTTCCTATGGAGGAATTGCCCATTCCAACCCAGCAAAGCTTACCAGCTCAACCTGTGCAACCTCAGCAACAGGTTCAACCACAGCCACAGCCTCAAGCGGCTCAACCAGTGCCTCAGACTCAAGCACAGCAACTTCAAAATGCGCAACATACGCAATCAATGGCATTGCAACAGCAACAAATGCAAACACAGCATCAGCCCATGCAGCAACAACAGCAGCAGCAACAGCAAGTTGTCACTCCAGGTGCAGATCGACAAGTCTCCATACAGATAAAATTACCTGTTCATGGAAATTTGCCCGAGCGACTAATAAATGTTCATGTTCCTGCTGCTGCCCTTCAAGGTGAATAACCCAAATTTTCCTAATTTGAATACCATCTTTGTAAAAGTTTTCAAACAATCAATTCAATTTTTTTTTATAGGGAACCAGCTGCATTCGCTCTTTGCTGGGCCCGTTATTACTGCTGCAATATCATTGCCAGTTCCATTTGCAACATCTTTACTACAACAGCACGTCAATACTACATTTGAACATCTTTCTGGTTTTACTCCAGTGCCCATCTCTCACCCTGTACAATTTTTACCACAAAGCAGTGCCAACCTTATGCAGCAGCAACTTATTCAAAACCAGGTAATTCAAAACTATTGAAATTTTGGCTGGATTTTGCAAAGCTCATTTTATTCACAAGTATATAACGTTTTTTAACAGCAAGGCAATATTGCTCAGTTGGATGGTACCGTAGGTGATTCAACAGATGATGATGATGATGAAGAAGAGGAAGACAATGATGACGATGATGATTTGGATGAGGACAAAGAGGATGAAGAAAACGATGATTCTGGTGCAAGAGAAGAAGTTAGTATTGCAATTAATATGAACCTTGTTGATACAGTTGTTAACTTAAATTTTTTCTACCCAGGAACCACTTAACTCGGAAGATGACGTTACTGATGATGACCCAACGGATTTGTTTGATACTGATAATGTAGTTGTTTGTCAATATGATAAGGTAGGCCGTTGTTACATGTCCACATATTATAGCGTAAGAAATTAGTCATGATATTTTATTCGAAAATGCTTTCAGATTACGAGGAGCCGAAATAAGTGGAAATTTTATTTGAAAGATGGTATTATGAACTTGAGTGGTAAAGATTTTGTTTTCCAAAAAGCCAATGGAGATGCTGAATGGTGAAAAATTACCTTGAGCAGTGTCAATTTTCCACAATTGACAACTGCCAAAACTTATGGACTGAGAAACAGTCAAACTGTTTCCAAACTAAACATTCACGAATTTATGTTGGTAATCGCCAATGCAAAACTTTTGAGTTGTTTTTTTTTATTCCTTAACGTGCAAAAAATCAATAATTTGCTTAATTACTTGATTTAAGTGAATAATTTTTACTAATATGAATGTAGGCTTTAAAAATCTGATTATCATTTGTTTGTTGTATACTATTAAGCAATCAAGTTTAATTTATTCTGTTGCATTAAAAGATAAATATTTGACCTATGTCTAGGGTCAAAGGAAATTAGAAAAAAAAAAAAAAAACTTTTTTTCTGAAGTGATAAGACTTTGCAGCAATTACATAGATTTTTAATGTTACACAGATGCCTATACATTGATCTCTGAAAAATAATACAAGATTTACTTATTTTTAACATGTATTTTAATTTGATACGATCCACAAACGTGCTATTAAAAATTTAACCATGAACATCTATAATTTGGGAAACAGTTGATAAAATTTATATTTGTAAATAAAATTAGTTAACGGGATACATGTAAATAACAACGTAATGTGAATTTTCTGCCAAAAACTAGTATCATTTAATCCTTGAATTATTTTTCAGCATTTAGCGTCTTTATTTTTTGTACAGTTGATCTAAACTTTTCTTATAGAAGTACAACATTTGTAACAATCAACATACAAGGGCACGAGTGCCTTAATTAGTTTTGGATTGATTATTTTGTTTTCACTTTGTCATTTTCGTATAATTATTGTTTTATTGTGTTTTTAAATACGTATCTTATTTCCTCTCATAAAGACGGTGGACGGGATAAAGTTTCCATTAAAATTAGTGAAATTTTAGCTTTATGTGTAATGCAATGTTGACTTCAACCATTATCTCGCCAAGAATGTCATAAATATGAATGTATATACATTATGAGAGGGAATGAACAAATAGACGTTTTTTGAAATTTGTGCAAATATCTTATAAATAAATGTATCTTATATTGTTAACATCGAATTTTTTCCTGATTTTACAACCCTTACTTTACCGCTAAATACGAGTGACCGTCTTAAAGCGTAGGATATTGTGTATTAAAACAACCTGGAATAATAGTGTATTTTAATTTATTAGTCACCACACAGCAACTTTGATGGAATTAAGAAGACTGTAAGTGGTAGTTACAGAAACAATACATTTACATTGATTATTAACTCTTTCGTAGAAAGGAAGTTTTTTCGACCAAGTATTCCGCGTTGACAGTTTTTATTCCTATTTTTTCTGTTCTTAGAATATTCTAATAAAAGTTTTATGAAACTTATTATTCCAATGCAGCAGCACCAGAAATAATTTCAATAAGCTCCCTGGTGATAACGGCCTGTCTGGTACGATTGAAGGTGAGAGTAAGCTTGTCAATCATCTCTCCAGCGTTTTTGCTGGCATTATCCATGGCAGTCATTCGGCTAGATTGTTCGCTGCATGCCCCCTCTTTCATCGAGTAGAATAGCATAGACGCCAAGGAGAATTCCAAATAACATTGGATCACCTCGTCGTCCAACGAGTCGTAAACGGAAAGCTTGGGCGCAGCAACAACCGCACCCTTATCAAACAATGGCAAATTGTCGGTGACGTAGGATACAACAGACCTGAACCTGTTGTAGATAATTTTGCCAGATCCATATGTGTATCTGAAACGAAAAAAAAAAAAAAAAATTTTTTAATCCACTAACCAAAACTTGACAAGTGGTAAGTATGTGACGGCGCCAATAAAATCGTAAAACTCACTCGCTATTCATAATCTCAGCAGCGACTCTGGCAGCATCATTGAACGTGGGAGGCTTACGACCAACCTCAGACGCGACAAAAAGAATATTCTTGCCAAACAGGCGCTGAAGGATGGCACGCGACTTCTCCCCAATGCAAACAATCTTGGTATTCTCGCGTTCGGTCGGATTGGCGAGCAGCTGATCGCGAATGGTTCTGGACACGCCGGTGTGCACAGCACCACAGAGACCTCGATCGCTAGTCACTGCAACCAGGAGTTTCTTGGGCTCGGTCTCGGGAGCCGTGATCTCAGCTTGCTCGTAGAAAGTTTTGGAGCCCTGACCCAATGGCCTGGCCTGTTTAAGCTCTCGCTCGGCCCTGTTGTACTTAGCTGCTGAGACCATCTTCATGGACTGTGTGATTTTTTGAATATTCTTGACCGACTTCAACCTCATGGAGATGGCCTTCAGAGTAGCCATGTTACGTTGTTGGATCTGTGGCTGCTGGGCAGCAGCCAGCACCAGGTTCGTTCCTTGGCGAAGCATTGTCACTGCTCAGATGAACTGTTCCTAAAATGAAAATACGTTTATTTATTTATTTATTTTTTTTTTTTTTTTGACATTTCAAATAACGTGTGTATTAAAATCCTGTTGGATCAAAGCTTTTCAACTCTAATGCATAAAGATTGATAAATGAAACAACTGATGATAACTGCCACTGAAACTTGGATACATTTTTTTACAACAAAATAATTATTATTTAATGTTTATCACAAATCACAAGTGCCACACTCATCATGGCACGATATGGATTTGGCTTTTTATTTCTGCTACAACCTGACAGTAACGAAACAGAAAATGTAATGATTTCAGCCCATATAGAATGCCAATAGAAATCCAATGACACACGATCAATTTTTTTTTTTTATTATTATCAAACAGATTAAAAAAAACGGAGCAACATATAAAAAGGCAGTGGAAAACTATGCTTGCGTGGAAACGATCAATTGAGTATTAGTACAAGTGCCATGTCTAATTAAACACATAACAGTGAGTAGGTCTCCCAAAACAAGAGCACCACACCACAGAAATCCGACCCAAAAAGTCCAAGGATCGCGAGAGCCCTTGCGATCATGTACCTATCACACAATTATTCACAGTCACAGCAACGGCCAGCCAGAATCACGCACGCATTTATGTAATCGCTGAAACTGAGATGGGTATGACGACCGCCCTCGCCGTGTATTTGGAGCCAGCAGCAGCGGCAGTTATGCGAAAAGAGCCAAAAGAACAAAGGTGAAGAGCTGCGCGTAAACTCACCACTGCCTCGACGGAACAACCGCAACCAAAAGGTGCGCTTCTGTGCACAAAGTCGTCCGGACGATGATCTGACCAGAAGGAGACAGTGCCGCTGCGGACGACGACGATTAGGAGCGATAGGAGCGACGAGCACGAGCGAGCCAGTGCAGGGACGGCACCACAATACACATAAACACTGCTGCGTCGATAACGTAGGTAGTCCGAGTAGTCTGACTTATCGGTTATACGTTGAGTGAAGAAAAAATTTGTTTTTTCTCATTTAACGCGCGCTCTCGTTGTGCTTGGGATTTGTTACTTCAATCACTTTTCACATCAAGTATTTCTTAGATTTCGTCATATTGATTGAGTTAATTTATCACCTGTGCAGTATAATCGTGCAATGCATATGATGTAGTGCGCGCGCGAACTTTTATTAAACGGGTACCTGATTGTTTTGGTCGATTTCAGTGTTTTATAGATTACTTTATAGGACAGGAGAAAAAAAAGTCATTAGCTAAAATGCCTTGTGAGATGATAACCCTGCAACTCGGCCAATGTGGAAACCAGAGTAAGCTCAATAGTACTTGCATTGTTTTCTATTTCTGTGTGTAAACTTCACGAGTGTCACAATTGTTTTATTCTTACAGTTGGCTTTGAGTTTTGGAAGAGGCTCTGCTCCGAGCATGGAATCAGCCCCGAAGGCATTCTCGAGGACTATGCCACCGAAGGCACCGACAGGAAGGACGTTTTCTTCTATCAGTCCGACGATGAGCACTACATCCCAAGAGCTGTTCTCTTGGACTTGGAGCCCAGAGTCATTCACACCATCATGAATTCGCCTTACTCAAAGGTTTTTCATTGCTTTCCCTTTAATGTCAATAGAAGCTGTTGTGATGTGAAACGTGGATTTACTTAAACATTTTATTTTCCAGCTGTACAACCCTGAAAATATTTATTTGTCAAAACATGGTGGTGGAGCTGGAAACAATTGGGCATCTGGTTATCATCAAGGAGAAAAGTTGCAGGAAGAAATATTTGATATACTCGACAGAGAGGCGGATGGAAGTGATAGTTTGGAGGTACGTTTGCAAACAAGATTTTTCTTTCAATTTTAAAATTTTTATGAGTATAGTAAAAAACAGATTGTTTCATTGTAGGGTTTTGTTTTGTGCCATTCTATTGCTGGAGGTACGGGATCTGGTATGGGCTCTTTTATGCTTGAATCTCTGGCAGATAGGTTTCCAAAAAAATTAATTGAAACATACAGTGTCTTCCCTAATCAAGATGAAATAAGGTATGTCGCTATTGTCTACTATTTATAGATTCAATCTATAAATTATTTTTTTAAATATATGAAATTCCAGCGACGTTGTTGTGCAACCTTACAATTCCCTGTTGACACTCAAGAGATTAACACAATGTGCCGATTGTGTGGTGGTTCTTGATAATACTGCGTTAAACAGGATTGCATCTGACAGACTGCACATTCAAAATCCTAGTTTCACTCAAATCAACAAACTAGTATCGACTATTATGTCTGTCAGTACAACGACACTAAGGTAAATAAATCTTAACTTACAAAATGTCAAACTATGAAAATAGTGCTCATTCTTATAATTTCTTGTTGTAGGTATCCATCTTACATGAATAATGATTTGGTTGGGTTGATTGCACCGTTGATTCCAACGCCAAGGTTACATTTCCTAATGACCGGATACACACCTCTTACGACGGATCAAGAGGGTGCATCAGTTCGTAAAACTTCTGTACTGGATGTTATGAGGCGTTTGCTGCAACCAAAGAATATGATGGTTTCCACGGCATTGGACAGAAACGCTGCTCACTGCTACATTTCTATATTGAACATTATTCAGGTATGTTCTTTTTTCTATATTGAACATTATTCAGGTATGTTCTTTTTTTTTTTTTTTTTTTCCAAGTAGTCTCAATACGAAAAATATATTAATATTAAAAACAATTATTAGGGCGAAGTTGATCCAACCCAAGTGCACAAATCTTTACAAAGAATCAGGGAAAGAAAGTTGGCAAATTTCATTCCATGGGGACCCGCTAGTATCCAAGTTGCTTTGTCAAGAAAATCCCCTTATATTCAAAGTACGCATAGAGTATCGGGGCTCATGTTGGCTAATCACACAAATATTTCTTCGGTAACTATGAAACACTTTTTACAGCATTATTTGTAACGAGGCTGTAATATTAAAAATCGAACTTTTTTTAGTTGTTTGATCGAGCTCTGCAGCAATACGACAAGCTTAGAAAAAGAGAAGCTTTTTTGGAACAGTTCAGAAAAGAAAAAATGTTTGAAGACAATCTTGACGAGCTAGATAACTCGCGGGAAGTTGTTGATTATTTGGTGAAAGAATACCAAGCTGCCACAAGAGCAGATTATTTATCATGGAATCCGAGTAAAGCAGAGTAAAATCATGTTTCTGTCTGGTGCATTACATTATGAATTTTAAGCCTCTACAACTCGATTTTTGACTCCATACGTATAGTTCCATTATGTTGAACTTATTAGATGTTAACATAAATTAATTAGTCAAAATGTTTTTTGGAAAATTTGAGATCTATTATTAATAACAAATTTTAATTAAATTTGTACAGAGTTGTTAATTTAAATTACAAGTCGAATTTTTTTGAATAAAAGGGCTATTTTTCAATTAATTAGTCATGACTATGAAATAAAAATTATCCCTCTTCGGTAACTCTCGCAAAATCAGGTGGTAGTGTAGCAATCGTTATATAGCCTGTATGACCAGGAGTTGATGCAGGATGAGCAACTGTTGTTAGTTTCACAGGATCAAGAAACTTGTTTAGGCTCTCGTTCGTCTGAAAACCAAAAATTATTTTTTTATTTTTTATTTTCTGTTAAATCATGAACGAAAGAATTAAAATTTACCGTATTTTTTACACTAAGTAAATCCAGCACAGGCAAATTTTTTTGTATAACAGTCAATTCCCTTTGCAAACATTCATAAGTTTCAATTCCTATAAAGCCTTTTGATGCTAATTTTTCACACGTCTTTTGAACTTGTTCTATACAAGGTGAAAATGAACAAAGCTTTCCTCCTGCGTCAATTTAAAAATTTAAAAATCAATTTAATCTATTTCACATACGAAATTCATTAAAAGTTAAATTTACAAAAAAATACTTTACCACTCTTTTTCAAAGATTTAACAACGAAATCGATCGTTAACCACGGAAGAGGTAAATCCAAAAAGACGGCGTCAACCTTGTGCTCAAGTTCATTTCCGAATCCTTGTGTACAAACATCTCGATGGCTCACAGTAACAAATTCATCGATACCATGACTTTTAAATTCTTCTTGAGCCAATGATACCCTTTGCTCGTGAAAATCAAATGTGTACAGGTGACCGTTTGGCCTAATTGTCCTTACCAAAGAATGTGATAAAGATCCACTACCAGTTCCTGTAAAAGCCATTTTAAAATTAAACGATCTAGCTGAACGTTGTAAAAAATAAATTCAAATAAAAATTATTTTCAAACCTGTCTCTATCACAACACTTCCAGGAACCAAGTCGAGAAGGTATATTATCAAACTTATGTCAGGTGTATAAATGATCTGAGTCCTGTGCGGAAGTGTCAAAGTCCACAACTCTGGGGTTGGCTGCAAAACGTGAGCCCAGCCTTTTGACAGATCGACTTTTGATCCGTACTTTTTACCAATAAGACTAATAACTTTCAAGGCACCGTAAGTTGTTTGGAATACATTATCAACGAGTTCTCCCTTTTTATTAAAAATTTTGTCTTTCACTTTAATTTGATGCATATTGTTGGGATTTATGTACAATATCACTACATCTCCTTCTTCAATAAAATCTTTGTTACACTTGAAACTCATTTTAACGTGTCCAACTTTTCATTAAAATTAAAAACTTGGTCTGTCAACTGTCAGTGCCTTTGAAGCACGTGGATTCGGCATTAAATTCTCAACTGTTTTTTGAAATCACGAGATAAACGTAACCTTAAAAAATAATAAATACAAATTAGACAATAATATTTACTTGTTCAAAATAACGTATTATACCGCAATAAAAATTGAGAATCAAAGTTTAAGTAAACATCAAAATAATAATGCTAATGTCGTAGCAGCTGTACCCCTCTGCAGTCAGAGAAAAGTCAATTGAAAAAACAAATGCAGCGCGAGCGCAAGGCGCAAAGTCGAGTTAAACTTGTACATGATCGAGAGTATCAAATATCGTAGGTCGACCGGACTGAAACACTTAACGATCCATTTCGAATGACCGTCATTTTACCAGCGGGAAATTTAAAAAATGTGGCACTTCCCTACGTAACAACGGTGTGCACAAGTAATGGGACGGTCAACTCGATCGCATATTTCGAGGTTGTCAATCGGACTCTTGAAGTTGGAATCGAACAGCACTCGCAGTTAATCGAAATTAAGTGGTGTGAGACTGTGTGTGTGCACAGCAGTTTGGCAGTAGGGCGGATTTCATCTCACGTCAAATTCGACCCCAGCTAAAACATCACAGAAAGTGTCACAATTTCTGTTGAACTCACAAGATATTATATCCACAACATCGACGATGGTGGGTAGAATTTTCTGTTTATGTTTTTTATTGACAAGTTCATTTGTTAGTGGAATATTACGTGGTTGTGAGGATTAGGGGGACTGATCCTTAGAGATGATTCATTACTATAGTCTGCAATCAATATCTTTTCTATTTTTTTTTTATCTATTATTAGATGTATCAAAAACCTTATACACTTTCAGATCGTTTCATTGACAAGTCTGATCAAATGATTATTTTTGTTTTCAGATCCGGTTTATCCTCATTCAAAACAGAGCAGGGAAGACGAGATTAGCCAAGTGGTACATGAATTTTGATGATGATGAGAAACAAAAGTTGATCGAAGAGGTACATGCTGTTGTTACAGTGAGAGATGCCAAGCATACAAACTTCGTGGAGGTTAGTGAAAGTGTACTTGACCTTTAACATCCAAGTGTTAATCTACAGCTAAAATTGTTTCATTCATTTTTTAGTTCAGGAACTTTAAGATTGTATACAGGCGTTATGCCGGACTTTACTTCTGTATATGTGTGGATGTGAACGATAACAATCTATGCTACTTAGAAGGCATTCATAATTTTGTTGAAGTGCTGAACGAATACTTCCATAATGTATGCGAATTAGACCTGGTCTTTAATTTTTATAAAGTAAGAACAATTTTGGCTTACGTCCCGTTTTTCGGATTATTACTTAGACAGTTGATTAAAAATTTTTGTTCTTACAGGTATACACCGTTGTAGATGAAATGTTCTTAGCTGGGGAGATAAGAGAAACCAGTCAAACCAAAGTGCTCAAACAGTTATTGATGTTAAATTCTTTAGAATAGATGATGTATGTACATATTTATTGGGTAATGTTGAACTCATTATTCCTAAGGTGAGATTGATCTGACTCATTCCATGAATTTATCAAAGCAGTGTTTAACTATTTATTTACACAAGACCAAACGCAAACGAACCATTCTATTATTATAGTACATTACTATACAAAAGTGATGTTGGGAGATGTTTTTTTTTTTTTTATCAATTAAAAATTTTTATTAGACTTTTGATTTCTTTTTTCATGAGTTGTTTTAATGATAATAGTTGAAAATTTGTATATTTATTTCTTGAATAAATATGTTTTTGCTCAAGATTATTGCCCAATATTGATTTACTATTACTCCGTGAGTGGCGGTCGCAGCATGGTTGACATAAATATAGTATTCTATCTGTTAAATCTATTAAATAATATAAAATGTAGATCTGCAAGGTCTCTCTGAAATAGCAGGAGATGTATATTAGTATGAACATATTAAATTTTTTTTATTTGAACTAAATATGTGGATAAAAATTTTGCTCGTTTGATTGAACTAAAACGTAAACAAAAGTTCTTTGCAGCTAATATTGAATAAAGGTGAAATATGTTGAAAAATACATGACCTTAAAATTAGCTGTCTAATACGCCTAAAACTGATCCCACATTGTGCGTAATTAAAAGAGGAAGCTAATGAGCCGAGTTTGATCAAACTTCATAGATTAACAATCGATCTGATCAACTTCCAGGTTTATATTTATGTACAAATCAACAAAAATTTATTTCCAGGTCAAACAAAGCATGTTACATTGTGGCAATAATCGCTATGTTTAAGTAACTTCACTTTATTTATAAATTAACGATTGATACACGTATATGTATACATACTTAGTTCCAGATAAGCCAACGATTAGCTGATACCGATATTACCGATACCTGTAACGCAACCTCTTACTCCTCCCTCCTCTGTCTTGTCCTTTGCTTATCGTCCACTAGGCGGCCAACCGCTTGCCAGGGCAAGTGTCCGAAATTTACATTGGTAATTGTCACATAATGAAGCATATAATTGAATACAAAGAACATGGCCATCCATAGCTAGTCCAAATATAAGTATAATACGCGCTGGCCGGTATGTGGCGTTAATAGTATTATCACTCCAATGATTACCAAAAATCCCCTTTTGCGTCTTTAATGTTTTAATTTTCTAAAAATTAAAATTAAAGTACATTTTTCCCTATAAATTGGAATCAGTACAGGTTGCCTTGATTATTAATATATAGTTGGTGATGTTGGCTTTATCTGTCATAAAACTATTTTTCGGATACCTTTGTAATATCACAATGGAGTTTTCAAATTTAGGTCTAGTATATGCCATACAGTAAATTTCGACCACAACAGTGTTGGCATACTTGGAAAAAATTTGATGTTCACCTACGAAACAGTCAACCGGTCATCATCCATTTAATGCCCAAAATTATTCTTCGCGTAGCGCAACACCGTCGTTTCATTTTAAAAATAATACGCGGAACGAAACACGTATTGTACGGCGTTACGCCAATTGAAAGCGATGCGAAACAAAGCGTTTAATTTGATCAACAGTTTTCCATTTCGGAAGATAACAACCATATATATACGTGCACATCACACGTATTATAGCGAATCAATCAATTAACGCAAACAACACATCAGCCTCTCGCTGTTACGCGTATACGCACGCGTGTTGTTTTTAACTGCACGCAATGTTGCAAGAGTCAATAAACAAGTCGTTTATCGCGTCGTGTACGTTGCATGTACTTATATACATGCGAGTTCTTCCTTATCTCATTGAAAAATCGCCCGCTGTCTCGCGCCTACCCCTCCGTCAAAACACCCAATACGGCAATCACCGAGCGATAAAAACTCTCTTATCGACCCCTTCCCCACACCCCGTCGTAAATAGCTCGCGTCTCTACAACTTATCTCTCTCTCTCTCTCTCTCTTTTCCTCCCGGTTATTCCAAGTACAGAAAAATCCAGCGGGTTATCGAGCCCCCCTTTTTTTTTTTTTTTTTTTTTTCTCGAGCGTTATGTTACGGTTCACAGGGTTATCGCGCGTCGCTTCGCCTCGATGCGCCTCTCTTGGCACCTTATATACCCACTCACGTAAGATTTTTTTACAATGTGCACGTTTCGTACAGGGATGCCCCGATCGACTCGTGTATGGTATGTTTTTTTTTTTTTTTCTCCCCTACGAATTTATCAGAAAAATAGCGCGTCTATATACGAGGGACCAACGAAAATGACAAACGTCGCGATCACCTTATACCCTGTAAAGTCGAGTGTCGGCAAGTTTTGGGGGCTACACGAAAAAACAAAAGGTCACCAATTTATCCACGTCCCGCAAAGTATGCGCGTGGAGGGTTTTTACGACAAATGGAGGATGACTCGGGAACGAGCTGCCCTGCATATTTCCCTTCCTTTTGGGTGGGTATATAATTATAATACATACATGTATTAACTCCATACGCGTGCGAGGGAGGGAACGGCAATTAACAAGCTCTTGTCTCGAGCTTTTCGGGATAATAGCTCTCGTCGCGTATCGTAAAAGGGCGCGGTTTCTATGTGGCGTTCGCCGAGGGACGAAGAGGATAAAAAAAGAAATGCGCTCGAGAGGTACAAATAGCCGTTCGTCACTTTTGGCCGTTACTGTTTCACTCGTGTGTCTCCGGCTGACGCGTACACATACGCTTTTTCCTTGTCCCTCTTTGCCGATCTTCTGGTAAGTATATATACTTACAAGGAGCGCGGCCTCTCTTTAATAATGCAATTCCTCCTCCCGTTTACGCGGCGCGCACATGCGGAGCTTTTAATCTATTTCCTCCTCTGTCGGTATAGCGCTGTCGCGCGCACGAAAAAAAAAACAAAGAGTCCCGCGGCGCATCAGACACGGAGCGTTTGTCTGGCCGAGATGGGACGCGCGGCAAATTCGGTTATTCAAACGACACTCGCGCGCGCACATTATATACTTACTATAATTTTTGCGGCAGACGCGCTTCAACTCTTTCCTTTTTCTTATTTTCACTCGCGATATTTATCTAACGAGTGTCACGTGCGGCCGTGCCTTCGCGCTAATGAGACGGCCTCGTTTGTTCACTTCGATAATGCCTCCCTACAAATATAATCGCTACGTTATAACGAAAATCACCCGTATTATTGTTGGCTCCGACAATTCGATCCCCGAGCATATATATACATACAAGGTACAAAGGCCGTGTAAGCGCACAAAATAATGTCCATCCGAATATATATCCCGTTTGGATCCAAGATAAATAGGCACACGAAACGTATAGGTGTATAGTATACAACCCGCGGGCTACTGTCCCGTCACTCGTTACGCTCCATCGAGCTTTTCTGCGGTGCAGCATTGCGCTAGTCCGGCGTGACATTTGTCAGCGACGTCGGGTTTAGCGAGTATACTTGAACAAGTGACTATTATATACTTACTGGTTCTCTTTGACGTACTTGTAAGGATTTGTCGTTTCTGAAACTTCAGTGTGTGGGTACTTTGTACTTATTTGTGGGTTTGATTGATTTGCCAAAGGTGATGACTATACACTTTTTGTTTAAAAAAAAATGCGTGAGTTCTATATGTAGGCAAATGTTTAACCGCGTGAAATATCAAGCATAAGTTTAATGCATGCGTGCGTGCGTGCGTGTGTGTGTGTGTGTGTGTGTGCGTGTGTGTGTGTGTGTGTGGACGATGCCCAAAAAAGAAAGCGATCCTCCTCCGACGTACAGGGGCGTTCCGCCATGCAAACCTGGAATATAGTAGCTAATGCGCGTCGTCCCAACTCTTCCTCCGCCTTCTCGTCGTCGACGCGTCTGCGTCTCTGCCTCGCTTATACTCGTTTGATTGCAGCATCACAGAGAGAGAGAGAACGAGCTTTTCTCTTCGTCCTTTTCTTTTCCCTACACCCTATATATATACACGCCGCGCGCGTATCCGGCCCTCATATTATTATACATGCTTCCGTCTCGCTTTACGCTTTTCTTTCACTTTGCGGCTTATAGGTATACATAAACCTAAATTTAAAAAATACTCGTACTTTTTTTATCGTCCACGTGCGCTTGCGTGTACATTTTGTTGGGTCAACAACCCATCCGGCTTTTATAAGGATTATTCTCAAGATTATACTCGGGGAAAAATCAAGTGCCGCGTTGCACAAAATCTGCTGTTTTCCGTGGTTGGATTGAAAAGTATACGCTCGCGTGGGAGGATGGAATAAAGGGACTTTCCGATTAACTTTTCGTTAGAAAGTGCCAGTTAGAAACTCTCCGATTTGACTCTCTCAAGAAGTTACAATTGCAGGGACCCATCAGGAGCTTTGCCGATCTGTCTAAAAAAAAAAAAAAAACCACGCGCGTTCGATCGGTTGCCAAGTGATTTCGACCGATCCTCCCTCTTCGGTGCATAAAAATTGTGCAACAGCATGAGAATGAACGCCAACACGAGTGTATATAAGGAACCAACGGCGATTCCGTGAATAACGACGCCCACAAAGTGCACCGGCTCCCCGTGATTAATGAGATCGGCCTCTTCCGGTATATACGTTTGCACGATACCCCAGAGAGAGAGAGAGAGAGAGAGAAAAAAAATGAATATATAACATTAACACCTACCGCAAAAAATCAGCCGTCCCAGACATCATCGGATATCCCCGGTTTTACAGCGCGTAAGACAAACGCATCGCCGCCCCTTCGCTTTTGTCTGATCTCGGGTCGCGAAAAATAAGGGCTCCCAACGAAACATCCAGCTCTCACGACCACACATACACAAAGGCCACGTATATGAGCGGAGAACGGGAGTAGCGGCGGCTCTTTTTAAAATAGAATCGGTATAGTGTAGCCCATTCGGGTGGCGGTCTCGTCCGCGGGGAGACTGTATTACACGTAAATATATATACACACGACGGCACGCGCGCCTGGCAACGAATTAGCAAATAGCGAGAGTAGATATATATATATATTATTCACAGGCCCTAATCTGTCGCCTACTCTCTCGGGGCCGCATGTGCGCGGCTCGCGTTTTATTATATATGTGTACCGGAGGGGGTTGCGTCTCTTTCTCCTCTTCTTTCACCTTTCGCTCCCTCCCTCTTGAGCGTGTAGTGTGTACGTGTATATGTGACGCCCGTCACGAAAATATACTTTTCTTTGCCGCCCCCGTCTCACCGATTTTTTGTCCTTTTATTTCTCCCTTTTTCAAAAGGCTCGTGCAGCCGAAAAGGGAAAAAAATCAACGCTGCACTTGCGCACACTTGTCGCATCGGCGGAAGAAGCTTTCTTTTTTTTTTTTTTTTTTTTTTTTTTTTTTTTTTTTTTTTTTTTTTTTTTTTTTTTTT